TATATATATATATATATATATATATATATATATATATATATATATATATATATATATATGACGAATAGATGCTCGTGACAAAGTAGGGCGGTTCATGTATACATTTTTAGATAAAGCTTCTTGTTTATCTTCGAATGTGCGCAGAAAAACAGAAAATTCTTATACAAAGGGTTTGGCAGTTTATGAAAGAAGTTCCAAGTTAATCGAATGTACGAGCCTCTTCCAGGTTTGATATTTTCCAAGTCACCTCAGTTGTACCTTTACTTCCGCTGTTACTTTTTACCATTAAACGTAATGATTATAATAGTAAAATCAATCAGTCTAGATTTGGGAGCTTAGTTTTTTGCTGTTAAGAATCAAAACATTCTTACCCTTTACATTTCACATTAATGGAATTTACTGCTGCACTTCGCTTCTTGAAAAATTATAGGGTCGGTGTCGATGGCGCAATTTATATAATATTGATCAAAAAGATGTAATCAAAGAATCTCAGCAACACATTGTTGCGAATGATCAAAATTCATCAACTGTGATATTTGTTGGAACTTTCACTAGCCAAGATAACACACAAAGTAATTAATTGTCTTAATAATTTTATCACATAGATACTTATTCCTAGCATAATAGATTTTGGAACTGCAAGTTCTAAAATGTTAGCAGTTTTTCGAAATAATGTTTCCGGACCGAGCTTTAAAAAATAATGTGTATAGTTCTTTCAACACATTTCTAGGTGATGTACTTTATGTGGCTTCAACTTTTGTGCAAAATGGCGGACCATTTCGTGATGACGTTCCAGCAGTTGCATCCCTGTCACTTGATCAAAACCGTCTTTTTGATGTCTCTGCGCAGGGAGTCGGCACAGGTACGGAAATCAAATTGGAACGGAAGTTTCGAGGACCGTATAAGTGAGTTTTCCTGTCTTCGATTTCTACTACTCTCAGATTAACGTATTATGATCAGTGTATTATATTTCAGAATTGAGTATGTTGGTGGATTCCAAAGTGGTAAATTTGCTTACTTTGTAACGCGGCAGCCGAAAGGGGATACAACACAAGGATCTTGGCCCTATATTTCCAAAATGGTTAGAGTCTGTACTAGTGATGCTCATTTCTGGAGCTATACAGAAGTTCCACTTGAGTGCGCATACGAAAACGAGCTCTATAATCTTGCACAGGATATATATTTGTCGAAACCAGGATATGATTTGGCATTATCTTTGGGTATAAGGTTCGATGTTTTAAAAATTTTTCATTTTACCAGTGAGTTCTTAAAAATAAACAAGTACAAAAATAAATAACATTGTTTACAATATAAAAACAATGAAAAGGACATTGCAATTTGGTTCATCTTTTTTAATGTTGTAGCAAATCTTAGTAGATATTTATTTTTTAATTATATTCTTTATAGTGTTGAGGATGATGTTCTATATGGAGTGTTTGTAAAAGGATCTAGTCTGGAGGAAACGATACCTTCATCAAAAAGTGCGATTTGTGTATATTCAATGGCGATGGTGGAAAAAATTTTTTGAATAATATTGAATTGTGTTTCAGAGGTGAAACTAATAAGGTGAATAGTTTGGAGTTTTAATACTAGAAACCATTTTTTCTTCTCGAGATCATGAGCTAATGAAGTAATATCCCCATAATATTCTATTTGATCATAATTAACGAATGTAAATTTCGTTCACTTCCAGAATTTACCTTGGTTCAAGTCGACAGATCGATGCATCAAAACTAGGTATTTGGGACAAGAAGTATTGTGTGGCAAAGATGTGAATAGCCATATCGGGGGTGAAATTCCAGTTGAGGGAACTGCTGCTTTAATTACACATGATGCGCAATTTACTTCTGTTGCAACAAACACAACGCGTGCATATACTGTTGCATTTATTGGAACGCATGATGGACGACTTTTTAAAGTAAACTTTATTAACAGTGATACTACCGGAAAACTAAGTGTAGTGTGCTTTTAATAGCTTCTTGTTTGTATATCATACTGGTTGAAATATCTTCACTTTTTGAGTCATGACCTGGTTGTTAGCAATTCGTACTCTCAAATCAGAGATTTGCCAATCAGTACATCACAGTGTATTTTCAGCTTGTTAGAAGTTTTCGCAAGTATATTGTTTGTTTATTATTCTGCCCTGCTTGGTTATTCTCATTCGTTTATTACAGTAGATTGAGTAGGTAGGATTGGGTTTCTTTCACTCGATGGTTTTGTTTTAATTTAATTGATTTTTTAGGTTGTGATAGAGAATCGCAGTTCTGCTTTCGTATATCGCTCGTTAGAAATCGGCGATGGTAAACCAATACTTCAAGATCTGGAGCTGGATGCTACTGGCGATTATATCTATGCGCTTACACCAAAGAAGGTTTGTTGAGGCTGATTGTGTTTAAAATTTGAGCTTTTTCTTGATTTTTTTTACTTAACATGCTATATATTTTTTGATTACTTTTCGTATATTATTTAGTGCAATAAGCTTTTGGATGTTTTACGTGATTACGAGATTTTAGGTAGTCAAAGTCAAAGTTCGTCAGTGTGGAGGAGCTAGTGACTGCCGCAGCTGTCTGGCACAGAGGGATCCGTATTGTGGCTGGTGTGTTTTGAATAACGCATGTGTTCCAGAAAGTGAATGCACGAAATCCATACCATCGACAGCGCATGATTGGCTTACTTATCGAAATGGACGATGTCCTGCGTATGCTTTTCAATTTTAAACACAAGACGAAGCATTACACAGAATTTTCGCTTATCTTGTTAATTGGCTGAAAGGAAAAAATATTTATTCTGTTTGAGAGAAAACATTGGTGTTATTTTGGAAGCTTATTTTAGCATAAGTAGGGTGGAGCCTGACAAAGTACAAAGAACCACTGCATCATATTTGAACATCGAGCTTGAAAATCTGCCGAATTTGGGAGGACAGTTAACATGTGTTTTCGATTTTGGCACTTTGGGATCACTATCAACACTTGCACAACCTAATGGTGGTTTGGACAACCGCATCAGGTTAGGGATAATATTATGGCAAATATTCCTACTTAAAGGTATGTTGCTGTCATATGTTTTCATAAGGGGACTGTTTCAGATGTCCAACTCCAAATGGTTTGCCGGAAATTCCATTAGATGCACACAGTCTTGTTGCCCGGCTTGCGGTTTCTAGCAGTATTGAAGGACCACCGCTGGCACACACGAATTTTACTTTTTATGACTGTTCTCGTTTTAAATTGTGCAGTGCTTGTGTTAGTAGTCCATTTCCTTGTGACTGGTGTATAGAATCAAATCAATGCGTTGCTGGCTCTACTACCGAAAACCGTTGTCGTTCTCAACAGCTCGTCAATGGAGTCGAGGTTCCATTCAAATTCAAGAGTTTGAGTACTCATAATAAATACAGTTTAAATCTTCCGGCACTAGGTGGTTCATTGGTTATCTACTTGTTGATTTTCATCTCTTCAATATTTACATTTTTGTAAGCAACTATTTTAGAGAACTGGACCATCGAGTCGAAAAGGACCATCACATTGTCCTCGTATTGTTGCGGCTGAAAGAGATTTTTTTGTGGCGTCCGGTAAAAATCGCCAAATATCGGTAGTAGTGGAAAATGCAAGAAAATTTATGACAGACTTCAAATGTCAGTTCAAAATAGAACACAGTATGCACGAAAGATTAGCGAAAAAAAAAGACAGTACCATCATGTTAGTTAATTTGTTTACTTATTGAATTTGTCTCATATTTCCTTTCAAGGTTCCAAATCTTTTAGCTTTCGGCGAATTTTGGTATCGACATAGTTTTCTTGTTATGAAAAAGAAAATTTGCTCCCGTATTATATAGTTTTCGGTGTTATGTCTTCATTGTTTTTCAGTTGTGATGACATGAAATTTGATTTTTATGGGCCGGGATCCGGAAATGGTACCGCTGTTGCAAATTTTTCGGTGATCTGGTCCTCAGAGGGACGCCATGGAGGTTTCGCTCTGGATAACAATCAAGGTATAAGAATTGTGATATACAAATGTGAATCACTTGCGTCGAACTGTGGATTATGTCTGGTGCTTAGTGGTGCGAAATACGATTGTGGCTGGTGTCCGGCTGAAAAACAATGTACAAGAGAAGAAAATTGCCCAGTTACATCAAAAATGGATTACTGGCTAGACAGGTATATTATTTAGCAATGCGCAGAGCACTATGAAATCTTTATTATATGAAATAATGTGTTTCGCCATGTATTGTACCAAATAATGTTCTTTGCAGGTCTCAACTTTGCCCATATCCTGTAATCACTAATTTCAATCCTAAAAAGGGACCCCTCGCTGGTGGCACCACAGTGAGTGACTTCTCTGAAATTTATTCAAACCCAAGTTCTGTTCATTATACTGAGCGAATTAAATCGATTAAATATATGTTGATAAGCGACGGATAAAAAATTGTTCCTGTTCAAAACATTATAGCTGATTATTGATGGTGTAAATCTCGGTCATAGCTACAAAACTGTGGAGGAAGCAGTGACGGCAGCAAACGTGCGCTGTGATGTTGATGAACTTTCTTATGTTACTGCGTCACGAATTGTTTGTCGGACCCGGCAAAGTCCAACGCCGATACCAGCTCGTTATCCTGTTGTTGTAAAATTGCGCGAGGAGCACAGGTATACTGCAATCTCGAATGATAGTTTCACCTACGTCGATCCTGTTATAAGGAATATGGAACCCACAAAAGGTGCAGTACTATCTGTTTATATCATATGAAGCAACAGTAGTCTACAGTATCTTGTTGTTAGCGTTACCTTTATCATATAATATATTTGCATTATTTCTTGGCTATGTTCTCTATGAAAGATGAAACCGTCGCATTTGTGAAGATTTGTGAAGAAATGCAGACCGATTTTGAATTGTTTTTCAGTATGTGCTTGTAAAATATCTAGGGAGGTCTATGTTTAATGTGTAGTTTAGGATTAGTTACAGGCTAGTTGTGTACATTAATACTTGTTTCCGATCTAATAAAGAGCAAGTAAGTGAGTAAAGATTCATTTAGATCTTCATTATATATTAATGGAATCGTTGTAGGGCCTCGATTTGGTGGAACTAATGTAACTATATGGGGTGAAAATCTTGACGCTGGTACATCCGTGAATATTTTATTGAATGGTATTCGATGCATAGTATTAAATCGTACAAATGATAAAGTTGTGTGCAGGACGGGTCCTTCAGAATTACTTACTGATGGGTATCTGAAAATCAGTTTTGATAGTTTTTCCCGGGAGTATGATAATATTCGGTTCAAATATGAGTAAGTACTCTTCCTTTATGTTCTTAATTTCCTCCTATAAGTTTGTGCGAAGTTTGGCAAGATGTAATACTGATAAATAATAGAGCAAACGGAATAATCTTAGAGCTTGTTGTACTGAAATAAAGCGATCATTTCTTCACTAATGAAAAAATTTCAGGGAAAACCCTACTTTCGCACAAGTCATACCTGAAAGGAGCATTGAATCAGGAGGAATAATAGTTGATGTGATGGGAACTGGGTTCAGATTGCTGCAGCGACCCCATATGGTTGTAAAAGATGAAAAGAGAATAATAAAAGGACCACAATGCAATGTTGTACGCGATGACTTGATTTTTTGCAAAACACCAAGCCTAGAAATTCCTCATAACAGGTCCATAAAGTATCATTCGTAAAGTTGCTTTATTTTACGTGCTCATCATTTCTTAACAAATAATCTGATTTAGTAATAATAGTAATGATTGAGTGAAATTGTTGTTGCAACGTTTTTTATGTTAGCAAATGAAACGTAAAATTTAGTTTCCTTGTCTGTATGCGAGCAGTTATATCCCTTCCTCTGTGTAAAATAAGTCAATATATTCAGACGGAAGCATCCAACAGCTGATGAACCACTGCTATTAAATTATGGCTTCGAACTTGATGGAGTTCATACAGAGTAAGCTTATTACCATTTCATTTATTTCATTTCAGTAAACGAATGTTTTTACTCAAAACAGTAGACATTACTTCGACAGCTCTGCACTAACTGTTCTTTGCGAAGTGCAGCAAGTGGGGCAGCAAGCTATTCTGTCCGTTCTTAGCATTTTAGTTGACTGGGAGAAATTGTTCTCGATACATCAGTGGAAACATATGAATGGTACTTCACCTTAGACTTATTTTTAGTTGCTGTCTAAGCGTCAATTAATGTTTTCAATTTTTCTCATAAGTTGTTTGGAAATACGGTTTATTGTTTTCTAATATTATTTCCAGAATTGATTTATTTGACAGATAAGCAAAAAATGAAGTATTTTATGCTGTGTATATTATTTGTTTGTAAAGACTGTGGTTTGCTTCAAATTTCTACAGTATTATTCGATGTTCTCTAGGGATATTTCGCAGTTAAGTGGTTTTCGGATGCGTCATCTGGCTGTTTTCCCGGATCCTGTGATCGAAAAATTTAGTGATGTGAGATTTTATCGATCGGGTGATTACCTGACAATAAATGGCAAATATCTGGATGCAGCTGCAAGGGAGCGAGATATACTGGTAACAGTAGGCGGTGAACCGTGCAACTTGACTGCTTTAGCAAATCGTGCCCTCACATGCCAGCCACCGCCTGAAAGACCCAAAGCACAAAAATTTTCTTACGATACGGATCCGGATGTTCTGGTGAAAATAGGTGGCGTGAGGTACGAGCATTTCATAATCTGTTTTCTTTATGGTCGTCGTAATCAATTCATGTGAAAAGTGCCTTTTATTATGCGTTTTAGTTATCGAGTGGGCCGTCTATCGTACAGCATGAAAGGAGCCGGACTATCACCACATGTGATGGGGGCTATACTGGTACCAACTGTTTGCATTATTGGCGCCTTCTTCTTGCTTTTAATTTTTTATAGGTAAGTTTTTCTTGCTTGTAATTAAATTCGTGAGAGACAAGAGCAAAAGTACTGGATCAAGGTTACATCCGCTTGTTGTTGTTAATTCACGATTTCAGACGCAAAAACACTTCTCATATGCGTGAAATGAAGCATTTGAAGAACCAAATCGATCAGATTGAGATGAAGGTGGCTACTGAATGTAAAGAAGCATTTGCAGAATTGCAGACATCGATGAATGCAATGGCTGCTGTTTTGCCCCTTGGAACACCTTTCATACCTTTTCTCTCATATAAGGAATACACGGCTAGGGTAAGGATTTTTCCTTCTTGGACCGCTTGGAAAAAATGCAACTAAACGTTACATTTTTTTCCCATGCCTTATCGATTTTCACCCAGAGCTTTACTGAGGTTATTTAGGTGCTGTTTCCGAACAGTTATCATAATCATCCAGTCTTGCGTGATTTGGAAGTCGACAGTCAACGTGCACACTCCATCGAAATGGGTCTTCGATCATTCAACAAACTTCTGATGAACAAACACTTCTTGCTTTCATTTGTGCGCGCAATGGAAAATAATAAGTATTTTTTAGGCAAAGATCGCGTGTCTGTCGGATCACTCCTAATGGTTGTGTTGATGGTAATTTTAGTTATTAAAGGCAGTAATCGTTCATAAATTTTAATTTTAGACAACAGAAGATAGAAATTCAGTTTTTCACTATCACTCTCTTTGCAGGAAAAAATGGAATATTGCACCGAAATTTTAAAGCAGTTGCTAAAAGAACTCATTGATCGGACAATGGAAAAAAGGTTACAACCTAAGATTCTCTTTCGTCGTTCGGAAAGTGTTGCAGAACGTATGTTAGCTGCGTGGTATACCATTCTAATGTACAGATACCTTACGGTATGTATTTTGATACTTTTATATGCTCACTGAGTGAAAGAGGTTTTTTTTTTCTTTTCCATTGGAGATCTATGTTCAATTACAGTAACTTGCAGGCTTCTTATTTTAAACGGCGAATGAGAAAATCGTGAATAAATTGAGAACAAATTTTAAGAAATGAAAGTTTCTTCAATCCCGACTTTTTGTTTGTACAGGAATGTGCTGGTAGAAAACTCTACGAATTGTACTGGGCGATGAAGCAGCAGATGGAAAAAGGCCCACAAGATGCACTGACTCTCGAGGCGCGTTATTCTTTATCGGAAGAAAAACTTTTGCGGGCATCATTTGATTTTCGGAAATTAACTGTTTTTATTGCTGCGGATCATCATTCTTCAGGTGCAATGGATTATCCGGTCAGAGTACTTGACTGTGATTCGATAACACAGGTATGATTTCCTTTGTGAACTGGTTAAGCTAAAGGTGAAATTTGTGTTTCGATTTTAATTCTGTTTGGTAATTCTTTTTTCTAACTGCAATTCTCAGAAATGAAATATCATTCACTTTTTCACCTCCTCATCATAGTAGTATGTTTGATTGAAATAAATATTATGAAACCTTAATTCTTCTACCTTCGAGGATCTATATCTGCAAATTCAGCATTGTTGTTGATGATCTATTCTCATTTTCAAGTATTTCTGCTTCCTTAATCCTTGGTTTTCTTTTTTTCTTTAGTACTCAAAATCTAGCGCAGCTTGTTCCATATAAAGGAGAATTTTTCAGGTGAAAGAAAAGTGTCTGGATGCAAAGTATCGCACAACGGCGTATTCTGATCGTCCTTCCGTGAATGATCTTGATCTAGAATTACGTTCGGCATGTCCTAGAATAATTCTTCAAGATATTGACAGTACTTCAAAGGTTGAACCTGGTGGCTGGAAAAGGATCAATACTCTTGCTCATTATAACGTATGTCCTTTTAGTTAGTTTCTGCATTCTCTTTGTTTTTGTAGTGTTTGATTAAAATGCGGAAGTTTTTTTAAAGCAGTCAATCTTTTCATTAAAACTGTTGAAGATATCATCAGAAATTTTAAATTCATTGATTCTCAGCCTTGAGTCGAGTAGAGAGATGAATTATGGAAATCTCCTTTACTGATATTTCTTCTTAGTTTGCGGTCACCAGGAAGTGTGATCAAGCTTAGAGGCTAAGGGAAAACTGAAGCAAAGTTTGCTTGAGATGTAGTTCATTATTAAGGAAGGAATGTGCATTACCTATTACCTCATCAGTTGTCAAGAGTGTGCTCAAACTAACCAGGAATTGATTTATTTCTTCTTCGCTTGTTTTTTCCACTTCTCTTTCGTTTCAGGTTCCTGAAAATGCCACATTGGCGTTACTTCCACGCCAAGCATCTCTTTATAATCTCTCAATTTTGAGTGAACGCTCGACATTTTCGTTACCAAAACAAAGTCCTACACTCACAAGACCGTTCGGAACAAACTCAGGTTCTCAGTGCAAAGGTTTGCTGTCAAGTTAGTGTTCATTTTGTTTCTGAGGAGTGGAAGTTGTTTTAAAATTGGTTAAATAATCTAACTATTTCGTTTTTTTTTTCTAGTATATAGTCCAGTTGTCTCGTATATTTCGAGGTAAGCTATTCGCACTATAGGTTCTGTCATTTATGAAAAAATGCAAACTTGCACGATTGTTATAGACATGGATTCTAATTACAAGTTGTACCATCTTGTGCGCCCTACCGAACATGGCTTATCTGATCAGCAAGACAAAATGGTTACTGAAATATATCTAACTAGGCAAGTTTTAAGCTTGAATTCTTCATATGCATTAATTATTTGTTCACAGGTGGGTAAAATATACGAAGTTGTAGATTATTTGATTCTATGCGCTCCTGTTTATGCTCAGCAAACTTTCGGAATATTCCAGATTGCTCACAATGAAGGGTACACTTCAAAAATTTATCCAAAACTTGTTGAAAGTTATATTTTCTACTGCTGTTCCGAATTCAGCTATTCCTTGCGTGAAATATATGTTTGATTTCATGGATGATCAGGTGAATGACATTTTTCTCGATTCCATAGCAGATTGATTGCTTACTTTGATCCTTTCATTTGCAATCTGCTTTCAGGCTAGAGAGCACGGTATTGAAGAGAATGAAGTTGTTCATGCCTGGAAAAGTAATTCCCTGCCCTTGAGATTTTGGGTCAATTTGATAAAGAATCCGCACTTCGTATTTGATATTCAGAAACCCACAAAGGTATAGATGAAAATTTATCCATCATCTGAAGTTACGTTTTATGTGATCTGCTTTCAGTTGAATCGTGGGTTCAATTTTTCGCTAACACAAGAAGTGGGAATAGACATTACGATTAGGTTAGATTATGTTCGAAATTCGTTGCAAGCACGGATGACATTTATGAATACCTTTTTCAGCTCGAAGGTTGTTTATCAGTTGTGGCCCAAACTCTTATGGATGCATGTTCGACGCAGGAACATCAGTTAACGAAAGATTCGCCTAGCAGCAAATTATTATTTGCAAAAGATATATATCAATATCGTGACTGGGTTGATAGGTAAATTCTTTTTTGGTGCTCCTAATTATTGTCAAACTTCTTTGACTAAGCAACTTTCTTACAGATACTATGCAGAAATAAGGCAGTTGCCTCCAATAACTGACCAGGACATGAATGCACTGCTTGCTGAAGAGTCGCGTTCTCATTCACGTGACCGGTTTCATATTTTTAGTGCGCTAAATGAGCTTTACAAGTAAGTTTTTCATATGGTTTTGTCTAGATTTTTGCCCAATTACATTTTTGTTTAATTAAATTTAATCTTTCCCAAGCGGAATTTTGTCTGTTTTTGAAAATGAACTTTTAGCAATTTGCTTTTTGAGGAACCTTCTAAAATTTTGAATTTGATTTATTCTTCACTTTTTGATTAGAAATTTTCTTGTCAGGTATCTGGAACAGTACAAGGAGTCTTTACGTGAAGAACTGGATATGAATCAGTTTGCAGTCAATCAGAAATTACCACAGAAATTCCAAGACATGTTGAATACAATGGAGTGTATAGGTGAACACTATAATAATGGTACCAGTGGGACTATAGGAAGTTTTGGACATCGTGTTTGTCGAGGAAGACAACGGGAAGATAGGGTGTAACACATATACAACAAAAGTGTTGCTTCGAGAAAATTCTAGATTTTTGGTACTCAATGTTTCATTGTAAGCTCTATTAAGTTGCTGAACGAGATGCTAGATGCTTGCTGATTGAATTTGTTAAGAATTGAGGGTGGGATGGAAATTTTGAGTTAATGATAACTTGACAGCCTTAGGAAAAAATTGGAAGTGTTTCGTCCACCAAAATTCATCTACCTCAAAGAGCCTTGTGTAGTACATCATATGGTTATGTTCAAAATTTACTTATGGGACTGTATCTCTAAAGCGTTTCTCTTGTGCTTCTTATATATTTATCTTATGCATTTAAAGAGGAATTGTCTAATCAGTAGAACAATTACGTGAATCACCTACTCTGTATTATGTTTTGGAATAACTGAGATGACAAGGCATCGGAAAGTTGATTTTGCCTTAAAAATGCGAATTGAAATATTGGAAATGTAGTTTATTGTTTTACTTTGAATTTATTGTTATGCATAACGGTTTACTATAATGTAACCGACACAAAAATCCATTTTGATTCTTCCAACATTTCATCGTGCGGGTATTATTTGGTGTTCACCACAGTGCTTATTTCATGATATGAGGGTTCAGTCATGTCATCACTGTAGTGAATACACCTTTTTTTTCACTTTTCTATATGATGCTTTCAAATTCAAATCTTTTTTCATATTTTCCGAAGTTTTTTCCCTTTCAAAAGGCAAAACATTTCACGAATTTTCATTTCCATATATCAGTATAATCAGAAATAGATAATTTTTGGATCAGAGAACAGTTCCTCTGTCGCTACGCTTCTTTTGTTATCTGGAAGACAAATTTACAAATTTAGTGCTTTAAGTGTTCCAGTTTGCTTCCAGGCTTTGCATTTGCAACCGTTCTGTTTTATACGTTGCTGTTATACATATAAAATGTTTATTACTATTTTTTTTAATCCATACTTCCTGAACATTCGTTTTGCAATGTGACATTTTTGTTTTAAATGCTCTATATACATTTGCAGAGGACATCAGTTGAGCTGCGTATTTCATGCTTTAGCAGCAGATATTCTCTGGCTCATGCTGTACTATCACTGCAGATGCCATTCTGGCACGCGTCACATGGAGTTTCGTTGTTGGGATGTGGTGCCAAGTAGTAACCGTTTATGTTGCCTTTGAATCTCTTGGAAAGTTGCACTAAGTTACTTTTACTTTTTTATTTGGCATAAGGAGTGCATTGTTTTCTACATTCATTGTTCTACGATTGCGGACTAACATTTCATAACTGACATAAAGTAATTTACCTGGTTACATTCACGGCCATTTAATCTGAAGGGACATTCGCAGCAGTGATTGGAAGTAATACTACGTTATTCGTGCAACCATTGCAAATGCAGCTTGCTAGTGCAGTTATTTCTCTATATGGATCTTCAAGAAGCAGTCTTTCGTCATGACAGTAAATAAATTTGTAGTTCGCTAGGTTCGTGATCCGATATTAGTAGGCCAAAAAATTCATTAAATAAGTCTGTACAAAAAATAACGTTGCGAAACTAGATGCAGTTATTGACGTTTGGCTGAATAGTATATATGTTAGGGAAATACTACAGGGATAAAGGTTTCTGGAACGAGGTGATATGCTAAATTGCAATACAATTGAGGTGAAAGCCAGCAAGGGAACTGTTGAATGTCAAGTTCAAAACAACTCGGAATGTTAAGGCCTTAAATAGTATTTGATTTCAATCGACTCTGTCAATTAAAACAGCTGAAGTCAGCAGTATATAACTCATGAACATAGCGTTGACTGCGACACAAGTTAGTGAACTAATCTTGGGCTCGTAATTTATTTCTTTCTGACTTCAATCGTGGGCATGTCATTTAGACTTGAAGAGGCGTTCGTAGGCACAGTAATATTTGTTGGGTTTCATGCATTCTCATTCTAGTCATTTATTGGTTTAGAACGGTCGAAGAGATCTGAATTAAACCAAATGAATGGGACCAGAAAAACTAACATTTCATGAATAAATCAGCATGCTAAATGCAAATTACTGTTACCTTCGTCTTCAACGATGCAGCGGTATTTTAAATTTGAAATCAAGGGATGACGGTTATTTCACTTAATGAGCTTTGCGAACAGTCAGTTCCCATTTTAAAGGTTTCTTGTCTAATTTCCGTGAATTTATAATTCTGCAAAAGTATTACATTAAAAATCCAATCTCTTCCGTGTAAATTAGTCAAGGTTTGTTAAATTTTAGAAAAATCCAGCATGCGCTTATTCTTTGTAGTGAAAGCGATGCAGATGATCAATTGTTTTGTAATTATTGCCCTTCTTCTTGGAACATTTCATCTGTGCGGTAAAACTTCTCTTGATCGGGTATTGCATACTTTTCCTCATTGTACAAATGTATTTGCACACTTCAAGTAAAGTAATTTGCAAATCTGGGAGATATTGCATTCACTTTAAAAGAACGTTCGGAAAAGTTAAGTTTATCACTGCGATGAATGGGATTGAGATAGATATAAATAGAAGAACAAAGCACAGGTAATAGTGGTATTAGATACGGCTCTGTTAAATGTCTAATAAACACATCTTCCTGTCTTAAAGCATATGTCAAGAAAGTGTGAGGGAAAAAACTGTTTTAATCAAGGTGTGAAATTGCAAGATTTTATTGAACATTTTTGAATTCATGAAATTGCAAGATTTTATTGAACATTTTTGAATTCACTACGAACAGAGTTGCAAAAGCATTTACAGCCAAATGTTTTAGAGGTAAACCGTCTCTAATTACTGTTAGCTGTTCCATTATCCCTAACCGATCTTTATTATTCCCATTTCGGCTGCATTATTCACAGTCACTTATTCGGGACAGTTTTTTCATGCTTTCCAAACACTATCAAAACTTGCAACATTTTCCAAACGTAGAAGTAAGAGTTTTAATCCATTCTCAATTTCCATTTTAGTATAGATTATCTGTGTTTTTTCTCATCGATATAGTTTTTGTTTCGATAAATTTATCAAATAGCTTATCTTGAGGAATTGGAAAGATAATTTCTTTACAGTCATGCTGTAGCAGAAATTGAGAACCTATGTTGAAGCGGTTAGCTGGCCAAAGTGTGGAAAATTTTGCAAGTTTTGGTTGCATTTGGAAGATCTGAAAATTTGTTATTCTCAGAAATTGGTTTAATGAAAGAAACTTGGTTTGATATAAAAGTGAAGTACACTGCTACGTCTAACAAGTAATTTAGGTGCTATCTCTTTCGGACAGCTCATGTATGCAGTTTATTCAGAAATTATTCCTTAAAAACGCATTATCACCCAATGAAAGGAATTTTAATCGTCGACATCGTAATAAAGTAGTGGTCTCAAACAAATATTCGGAAAACGGTAAGTTCACTGGTTCTTATCTACATCTGAAACAGCATTACTTCACATCTATTAGGGTGAACTTTGCGAACCTTTATCTCGCCACAGTAAGTACAACACAGGCTTTTTTTTTGTAACCATTATTGATGCCATTATTGGGCAATCATTGAAGGTGAAGAGATTTTCGTCGATTTCATTGTTCATCCATAAAATAGTGAAATTTTTAATATACTTTCGTTATCTGAGTCTTTCTATAGGAACATTACTGTGAATAGTTTCCAAAAAAGACTTGATTATTTTACTAGAAACGACAGAAGCATCGAATAATAGCAGAAACAACAGTGCTGCTACTGATTATGATGAAATGACTGCCTTCAGCGAAATTTTTGAAAGCCGTAGTTGCCTCACAGTAAGTTGGTAATTCCTTTTTTCAACTTCAAAAAAAGATTGAGAATACTTTTGAAAAACCAGCTTTTGCTTATTTATTTTCTGGCTAGTCTATTGTTTTTTTTTTTTGGATGATTATTGTGTGCAAAAGGTAGCACTGGTAAAGTATTATTTCCGGTAAAAATAGGAGACTGCAATAATGTTTGATTTTTAAATGGGAAGCAGGAAGAAACATTTTCAAACCTAAACCAACGCATTTCAGATTGACACGATGGATCCAAGTTGCTTTGTATGGCGGAATTCAGGCAATAAATCACCATGCCAAGCGATATCTGGAATAACTTTTCCAATCGCTGTCGTTTCACTTGACCTCATGCATCTAATTTATACAATAATATCAGTCAGTCGCCGCATTCTCCCTCCATCCAAAGTATCTATCTTCCCTCTTTATGAAATTTTGATACCAAAATCAAATTATTTGTAATTCTATGATAATCGAAAATGCAAATTAAAATGTTTTGCTGATGCAGGAAACAGATTTCGTTCGATGCGCCATTCATATCCTACTGTGGTGCACTGCAAGTACTTCAACAGTATATTTGCTTTATACCTGGGAGTATGCCTGGAGATACACAGAATTTAAGGCTAAAATTCCAAAGCAGTTCTACATGGCTATGGTAAAAGCATTATTTTTACTACTCAAATCCTAACCTAAGATCTAAGAGTCGGTAATGTTCTTTCTCATATGCTTGCGAGTTCTAGAAAAGAATGTCTTCTGGATAAAAATATTTTATCCTTATCCCTTCACCTCGTCATTAGGTGTTTCCTCAATTTCTTCGATATTGCATCAAGCACTCATACCATCATTTCGATAATTACGTTCTTTACCCTACAGTTTCTAATTTCAACTATTTTTTCGCCACTTTTCTTTAATTAATCTATGCCATTTTGTACGGCAGTATTAGTCTGCATTCTCAATTCCCCAAGCAAACTTTGCGTCCTCACAACCCATTACTTTTTTAGTTTATACTTCTTTGCCATACCCCAATCCGGTCTTGTCAATATTTACAGTTATTTTGAATGATTCTGTGATGCCACTGATAAAATGATCAAATGATTTTGTCAAGGCAGTACTGACATATATTTTTTCAGCTTTTGCTTTGATATATTCTGTGCGTAATTGTTAGTCTTTCACTCTCATTTTTCAGCTTTAGTTATAACTAGCGTGGGCCTCTTCAATTTTACCATTAGTGTGTCAATTTTTTAATCTGTTACTCGGTTATTTCATGTCCTTTTTTTCCATCCTTGTATTTATTGTGCTCTTATGTCCATTGCATCTTCATTTAGGCTCGATTTCTCTATTTTTCTGATTATTCAAGATTGTTTTTCATCACCATGAATCTGAAGGTATTTATTGCATAATCCTTTACACATTGCTTTAATAATGTTCTCTTCTAGTACTTCAATCCTGTCGTACTAAACTATTATACCCTTTTTTTAACAGTGTTGCACACTTCTTTATTGCAAATTCAGTGGACATATAACTGCTAAGAAATGCAGCGACGGCCTTCTGTTTTCGATCAGTTTTATTGCATATCATCCGTATAGGATAGATGTTTGATTTTACCTCTAGTCTTATTTTCAGTTCCCTCTTTCTTCACTATACTCTTTTCGTGTGCAGCATATGTTTATTCCGATAGTATTGTCAAATTTTTTAGGTCCTTTTTGAAAGTTTGTTTCTATTTAATTCTAATATTTTTCAACATTCTATCCCTCAAATCCTTCAAAGACTCTGATTAGGAAGAACTAGTTTGAGTCTTCTTAATATTTGGTCTCATAATTCTGCACCCAGTTTCTTTTGTAATGATTAAATTAGGAGAATATAACGTATTAGCTGGCTTTTTCTCAGTAATATGTTTTAGTATTCTTTGAGACATCATTTTCAGATTTGGTAGTCTCACTGAATCGCTTCTGTATGTATTTAATTTCTTCTAGAATTTTATTTCTTACTGTAGTTTTGTGGTTTCAGTTGCCCGTGTTTCTTGATCAGATCAGCGCTTAACTCTCTGACATGTAAACTTCGTTTTGTTATTCTAATTGACTTTTTTTTTACCCACATCAACCGGTAACTCTTGAGTTTCTTTCTTCCAAAAACCTCACATTGTTTTCTAATAGTGCGTATCTGTTGTCGATTCTACTACCCTTCTTACTCAGAGCATTATTCTGGCACTTCCATTCACATTCGTTCTTTGATCATTCCCAGTCTATTGTTAGGTCAAGTTATCTTTCTTGTGACACTCGGTATTCACTCATGTCTTTTCCGAAGTATTGTAACTTCTCTAAGTTATCGGTGTCAAAATAGTATTATGCAATACTATCTTTTATCAGGGCTAGTGATTGCTTCTTTCGCTGTTCAGTGCTCTATTCTGATTGCTCAACAGAAATTGCTAGGTCCTATAGTTCACTGAAGGTAAAAGAGACACAGTTTTCATTGACCCAGATGATATCCGTCTGTCTTTTTTTGTTATTTTGTTTTTCTTTTTCTTTTTTTCTTGAAAAATTTTTATTCTGTTGATCTGCAACGGATAGGACAAAATCGCCAAACTCACACTAAGTTTAAATTCATTCGTGAGGACACGGATGTCCCAAGTATGGAGAATTTTCGGAACGAATTTTACCCACACTCGCTCACTGGCTCACATGAATGAACCTGGATGCATACTCCAGGAATCGAAAATATGACCGATTTTTTCTTATTTTCTTTAACATACATGTTTGGATTCTCAAATTAAACTATTCTCTCATGGAAGATTTTGCTGGTAGCAAAGTTACCACCGGTATTGCTCTTCCCATCCTAGAAGCCACTCAATTCCCTCAACAAAGTTGCACAATCATTAATTATTATCCTCATCTTATCACAAATAGTTTTTGCCCTTATTTATAGGGAGGTGAATATACTTTAACTAATAACATAACTTAGATATTTTCTGTGACGAATGTCATCATCTACAGCGCTGAGATATTCCACAGCAAATGGTTATATGTACGTTTTCGTTTGGTCACTAAACCAGGTAAACAATAATTTATATTTCATAGTAAAAATAACTTGTTTCTTGTCGCTAAGGGAAAGAGAAATATTGTTTTAAGAAAGGGCGATCATCAAGTTATTACAGACAAGATGGAAGAGCCGTACGAATTAGCACCGGAGTCGTACGAAAGAACTCAAGCTGGTAAGGAAATGGATACTGCAGTAGCAGTAGCAACAGCAGCAGCAGCAAACCCAATGAAAGATCTGAAACCTGAAGAACATTTCCTGATTCCAATCAGTAAACGCGTTTAATTGTTTCCATCATAATTCAGCTTTAATTTCCATACTACACTGCATTTTATACGTCCTCTCCATGTCAATGTCAAAGAAAACAGAAAATTGTGAAAAGATGAACTTGAATGAACCAACGTGCATCTGTTGCAAAAACTAACCGATTAGTGAACATGCCAAATCCTAATCCTTCTAACTACTGGAATCGTTGCTAGAGAGTTAAAAATCAAATAAGATATAAATGCGCAGATGGTAGATCCAATACATGTACAGACATGCAAAAGCTCATAGAAAAATGGCAAAAAGAAACGTCGAAATCAGCAAGGGCGCGGTTAAGGATAACCGTGGGAAAGCAATAAATGAATGAGTATTGATTTCTTTCTGTAGCAGAAGCGGACTAAGTCCCACAACATTGGAATTAAAAAGAAGGAAACATAACAGCTATAAACAGCACCACAGTTCTTGATAGAAGAAACTTCCCGATGAACGGATAATCATCCGTTCAGTTAACAGCTTATTTTGTGAGCAAGAATGACCGCAAACAAAGACGGATCAGAATCCTATGGCCTAGAGCGGGGTATTAACTGATTGGCGCAAATGACTGAGTGAATCAGCTAGGGATAGCGGAAGGGTAACCACATCACTGTTAATCTGTAGCAAAGCAGCTGTTTGCAGCGTGCATTTCAACCCTTCCAATCGCTCTCTCTCTCCTCCCATCCACTTTTTTTTCATTTTAATTTCTCCCTTGCCAATTACTGTGCTGGTAGATTTTACCTCATCTGATGCTTCAACTTTCACCTCGTTTCACTCCTTAACTTCTCCCTTACTCTTTAACAACTTATGCTTACGCTTCACTCTTCAATAACTTCCATTATCTGTTTATTCATCCCATCGATCCCATCCATTAGTTCAATCACCGACTGAACAAATTTCCCAATGCTAGACTTCCCACCTATTCATAAGGAAATTCGAATAGAGGTGTCGCGTCTTCGGATATTGGTATGGCTCCCAATTCATGTATAAAAAATTCCGGCAGAAATTCGAAAATTTGTTTTGGAAGACGCCCTTCAGATCAGAAACTTAAGTAGTACTTTCCGTATTTTGAAGTGTTATTGTTTGATTCCTGATTGAAATCGTTGCTTTGGACAACTTTTCATGGCAATGGGCAGGTTTTACGCCTCAAATGAGAGACGGTGTCAATATTATCACTTAGCAGTTTCACAAACTTCACGTAAAACAAAGGAAATTCATTCCCTTTCGATGTTTGGCTTGCTACACATTTGAATGCCACATGTTAGTAAATGAGTTCAGGATATCATATCGCATTGCATTTTCCCTCCGTTTATCTGTTTTCTTTTTTTTTCAAATTTCGAAAAAATATGATAATTCGTATTAGTTTCAACTTACTGCTCTCCGTGCGAAGGAATGTTTACGGAACTTCAGGAGGATGGCTCTTGCTGCCGGGAAAGCTGTAACACGTGTGATGCACAGATGTGAAGCAGCTAAAGCTTCTGGCTATCTTGGTGAGCACAGCATGGAGAAAGGATAAGGGACACTCCTTAAATCAATCTTTTTTCCTTAAATAGAGCTGATATGAATTTCTAGGATCAGGTAAGGGCATAAAATTTGTCTTATTTGAATGGTAATTTCTTAAAAGCGCAGTTAAGGATGTATTTTCAGATCTCTCAGATTGTGGTGTAATGTATGTTGCCGATGCAATATATCTTGTGTTGAAAGGGTATGAAATCAATAAATGCAATCTGAGGAATAACTCTCTCACCAAATTTCCTAAGAAAATGATTAAACGATTCAGCAATATGACTAGTAAGTTCCTCGATTTACTAATTCCTCATCTCTCTTATTTCATAGCAAACAGGTATTTAAGGTATTGCTTTTCATTTCATTTTTTCTACTTTTGTTAAAAAAACATCGTCGGACGGTTTTATTCTTTAGCTTAATTGAAATAGTTTAAGAATAGGTAACCAACAAACGTTTGTTTTTCCAACTTCACTTAATTTGCTTCTATGTGCAAATAGTCGTCCAAAACTCTGTGTAGAAGGTTGTTGCGAAATTTTCTGGTGTTTTGATGATATACGCGTCACAGCCGTCTTTTGGCTAATTATTTCAAGGAAATAATTAAACAGTCTGACTGATAGCGACGAATAAAAAGTTGTAGTGTTCAATGTGGAGGGTAACGCGATCGAGGAATTCCCTGTCGAAGTTGGTGAATGGACTGAAATGGAAGGGATGAATTTATCAAATAATAAATTAACAGCATTTCCTGTTGGTATTTTCAACATGAAACAGCTTAAATACCTTGACCTTAGCGGCAACAAAATCACCGGTAACTTTCTCTACATTTTTATTTGTCATCATCATAGTTAGGCTTCACGAACGAAGATTTAGGAAGGGCTCTCTACCCATGCTTGCTGCAAACGCTACAAATGTGTGTGTATCCTTCCAGTCTGCGCAGTGGGTTTTTTAGGTGAAGCACAGCGTGCGCGGAACTGGCTCAACCCTTTACTCCTAAGGTTCATCTGTCAGGGTACACCGAGCAAGGATGGTGACAGCGAAGTCCTCACGACGTAGGTTTTGTTAGAGTATCCTTCTCTTAGGTGGATGGCTTACATGGCTAAACGAATTCCGTCTGCCGGGTTTCCAGTTAGAGTTGTTCCCTTCCTACAATGGTTTTCCGAAGATAAACGAGCCCATCCTACCCGTGAACACACTTTATCTGACCCCTCAGTTGAGACGTGTATGGCACTATCGGAGGCATATGTCACCGCCAGCATAGTTGACAACCTCATGAGGGCATGTAAGTTTTTCTCCCCTGACAAGGGGGTATCCGTGAAGAAGTATTCATGGTATAGAAATAATAACTCCATGTTTCACATCCAAATACAAAAAAACTTTTAGCAGTTTTCTGAACACCACTAAGAAAGAAATGTCATGTTACATTTTTAGAAATAGATGTTGACCGCCTGTACACGTCGTTACCAAATTTAACACAGCTAATGCTAACTGGTAATCCTGTGGCAGAAACGATGAAAGTTGAATTGGAAAACCACGAGAAGAAGCCGAAAACATTGAAACTGTTGCTTGTTTAATATGAACTAAAATTGATCTCTTACACTGTTTGCGTAGTGCTGTTATTACTCACTAGTAGTGCAACATTGATTTTTACTCTTCGAGTTTAAATTGTGATTTCTCCGATGTTCTATAGTAACTTTCAGTGATTCCAAACAGAAACATTTATGCATTTAAAAGATGTTTGTGGTAGGTAATTTTTTAGCATCTGTTTTTTCCAACTGGATCAGGTAGACCTGATTGACCGAATTCAACACGTCCCTCCTATACGCTTCGTCTTGGCATTTCATTGATCTCTGGTAGAATTTCGGAGAGCCGTCTGCTCTCGTCGAACCTAACACCTAATAGTACATTTAATGGGACTGATCATTAAGGCCAAGATTGCACTGTCCAGGCCTTAATTTAGCCCTGCACACAACCAAATGCTTTGATATGCTTATAGACCTAAATTCAGACCTACATATCGCATGAAAATGTCATTGTCCTACAATAAATTTTGGACCAGAAATTGAGCTATTAGAAAATAAAGTGTGAATAAAGGATTTTACAATATACATTTGCTATGATGGAAATGTTGTAACATCCATATTAGCTTTAGTAGCTACTGAACGGATGCTAAGGTGAGAACTTCAGTTGTTCATAAATGTGGATCTAAAAAATGATGGTATAGGAAGTAGATATTCTTCATAAATTTTGTTAATCTGACCAGACCATTAAAAATTACCATGTCGTGCCGAATCTTGTCAACCAGTTAACAGCATCTAAGTGGTTTTTGAAAGTAGTGAAGAATTTCTAATGACAACCATTTTAGAAACCATCTAATTCAGAAGAAAGCGAAATAATAATCAATTTGTCCTCAGTAATTCGAACTCAAAAACCTGAGGTCGAAATGCTGGGCAGTTTGATTGCGCATGCAAGTATCTCGATTTCTATAAATGCAATCGGTGCATGCATCAGCAGACCTGCATTAACGTATGTATTAGCATAAAGAGAACAGATAAAGCAAAGGGAAAAAAAACATGGGACAATACCGTTTGCAACTAATCAAATAACTTTACGAAAAACTCTGCAACGTGTTGATATGAGAAAACGAGCCAATCATCAAACATTTATTTGTTCCTTTCTGATGAGATAGAAGAAAAAGAGAAAAAGATTTAGGTTAAATTAAAAAAGCGATTGTTACAAATGAAATTGAAGCAAATATCGGTTTGATATCCGGTAGTAGTGTTTCGTATTTGTGAGTTATCATGAGGGTATCATTAAGTGATAAACGAATCTTGTGCTAAACCTTAGGCAAGCAATGTAAATTGTCCTAAAAAGGATAGAAAAGAGAGGAAATATTGAGAAACAGTCGTGTTAAGTAGAAATAGACGAAATATTATATACATAAACAAAATTATAAATTTGAGCAACAGTGGTATAATGAAAGTAATAAAAGATCTGATAACTTTTGACGAATGCACAGTAACTCGTAGTTTGCTGAGTGTATTAACCCGAAGTCTTGGATTCCATCTATGTTGTGAAAAGATCGGCAAATTTCTTTTGTTGAAGAAATACTTGCATATCATTTATCAGTTCGTATTCTTAGGACGATCATTTGTACTTGTCAATTAGTTACAGATTCATATTGTTAGTCAAATATTCACAAGAAGCACAGATACAGTAATTTTTGTAGACGAAAGATGCAGTGATGAGGAATTTTACGTCAGTCCGTTGATTCTTCTTTTTTTATACACTATTGTTTATGAGTTTAGAAATGTCTTCTGGAGCTGACACTTCACCTGAAAACTGCATCTATTAAATACATATGTTGAAAGACTCATCTTTTCTTTTGACAACAACTTTCTTTCGTCTGTTTTTGTTTCTATAAAGTTCAAATTACAACAATTGTATGACCTTTTCAGCCAGTGTTTAAATGCAGAAGTTATGATTTGCTCAGTGTGCATGAATTAGTTTAACATTCACAAATGAACTATTTATGTTCGTTTCGTTATGAAGAGTAGCACTCAAGGCTCAATATGCAAATTAGAGAAAACATATTTTAGCAATAAAATTTATTCAAAATGTAAAATCAACATTAAATTTGAGATAATTTCTAAAATGAGGTATGTATTTGATCAGCATCGGTTGTGCGCGGTGATTTCATCAGTTAGTCCGAAGTCATTTTCTTTATATAGTCAGTTTACAACTGCTTTCAATATGCGGTCTGCGGAACAAGATCGAGTTCCAAAGGTTATTTTGTGTTTTCTTACCCCATTTCCGTAAGCTTAATGTAATATCAATCTCTAAAAAGATTCTAATTAATAAACATGGTTGACGTTGTAGTCTTTCTTGCTTTTGCTGACTACCTTATTTTGTTGTGAAAACAATAACGGTACAACAATATTTAAGAACAAATGTCGTATTTTTCAGAAGTTTCAGCAAGTAGATAATAACTACAGTACTGTCATTGTGAATCTCTTTGGAAATGTTAATGCTCAATAGTTCTCGGCTTGCAGTTATGCAATAGATATTGCACCGATTGCACCAAATGATAGGATGATTTTAGTGATTAACTAGGAAAATGAAATGTGCCGGAATTTTCATTTTTATATGTTTTGGTTTAAAAAATTACATTTTCTCTGATGTCGTATTTATAAAATTACATACATCGGTTCTCAATGTATTGCTTTACTAAGATTTAAACCTTCAGAAAAACTTAATTTAAAAATTTAGATATTATGAAGTCTTAATATTTCTGCTCATTAGTAAAAAAACGATTGTAAATCTTCAGGTTGAGCGAGTGCCTTTATCAGTAATTTGCACCAGTGCATCGGACAAGATAACAGAACGGAGCCAAAATCGTCTTCTTCGTCCTATCTTTATTAATGGTGTTGAAGTTGGCTTCGCGTATGCCATTTTATGTTCAAATATAAATTTCCATGACAATCAATTTACATAACATGCCGTCATACAATTTCAAAACGACACAGTTTTATTTTATTCAAAATTAGCATTTTCTTCGCTAGAAAATTTGGAAAATTCCTTAGAAGCTAACAATCAATTGTGGAAATCACAGACTCTTACTATGAAGGAATTTGAATTCCAGTGGTTTGTAGACATTATTTTCGTATCTTCCACTTTAAAGAAGTAGCTTAGTCAATTCTTTTTTCCCTTCAACCATCTTCCTGACGTCTACCACTTTCTTCCGCGTAGCAATTTAAGGATAGCCAACAAGAATGATTCATTTAGCTATTCTAAAGGTGCAAATGCGGTGAAAAAATTGAGCGCACGTGGAATAACAATTACCTTGTGGTATTTTATATCACGTGGTCATCAAGCTCAAGCACTTTTGCCATTTTGTTTTAAAAGTTATCCAGATAAATCGAACCGCTGGGACGAGCTTATGGCTCTTTATCGCATGAATCTAATTGAATTTACACCAGGTCATCTTTCACTAAATTTTTTAATTTATTTACATTGGTGTACATCTTTTTTAATTACATGAAGGAAATTATAGAAAATAACTGTTTTTCTTCTGAGCTTTCAAAACTTTGTATAAGTAATGTCAATATATTCGAGTAAGAATACATAGTTTCAAATTTACTGCAAAAACTCAGATTTCTTGAATGAAGCTCAACATTCAAGATCAACATTGAATAGTTCAAAAAAGACTGAAATGAAAATCTCTCTAATATGCAAAGAGATGCGATTGTCGGAAGGAAATTGAACAAACAAATGATGAGAATTTTAGGAATTGGTAGTGACAAATACGTTGAAGTAAATCGTATCATGGCAATGCGTGCCCGCGAATACGGTGGTTGCATGGTGGCACGATCGCAAATGCACGTTATTGTTGAACAGAATCCAATGCTTGATCGCACCGTTGAACAGAAGTACTACATTTACTGTCTTCAGATATTTATCTGTTGCATCACATCCTTTACCTCTTCTGTTTTGGGTATTAAAAAGAATTTTCGGACTTGAGAAATATCAGAAAAAAGAAATTATGCCAATTTTTTTCTCACTCAAGATTATACAAATGAAAATCAAGGCAAAAAAGATTACCTCATAAAACAAACGTTCAGATAATAAATGGAAGGTCATAAAAAAGCATACGCCATTATTCACTAGATCCATCAACCTACAATATTCCAAATTTCATAGATGGATAAAAGTTTGAGAATTTCTGAGGTACATAACAAACTGCGTGTCTATGTCAAGGAAGTGTAAATCCCATAAAATATTGTTCTTTTTTCATCCATCAAAATTCATCGAATTCATCCTCAAAATTTAAATAGTTATCGCATCATTAATTCATCACTAAATTCACTAGTTTTTCAAAAAAAAAAATCACCAATTTCTAGGTTAGACTGAATAATTTCGCAGACTGAATAATTAATTGCAGATTGCTGATGCCGTCATTCAATGGAAACGATATTATCTTCCCCATTGATGGGCCCCTCGGAAGAAATGGATATACTTTTGCGGTAGTGTTAGTTTTCTTTTTTTTCGAATATTTTCATTTACTTTTTTTGAATATTCTTAACGAAGTAATGTGATTTATAGAAGAACATCTTAGTATGATATATTCAGGATACGCTCACATGTACGATCGCTGACCCAGAATGGTCACGTTGTATCTTGCAACAAATGAGTCTTCGTGACCAACGAATCTGGATGACTAATCTGGCTAACATCATTCAAAACTGTAAGCGCTTTTGTTGATTTCAGTTCTTTTTTTTTTCGAAATCCTGTAAACAGTGTTGTGGCATTTCAGCTCAATGGATAACAGCTGCTGGAAAAGTATGTCGCCACCAGTCACAACATTTCGTTTCCGTTCCACCAATACATTCGTCGCTCGAGCTTCACCCTCCTGAGACGAATCCTCCTGAAAATCGCGGATTTTCTAAACTGCGACATCGAACACGCCGAACTCGCTTTTTGATGAGTACGTTGCATTTGAGCATAATCATTTTATACCTTCTCCTTTATGAAATCTATGAAATGTATAGACCGTCAATTACTTATGAAATGATAAAGAATGGTTCGAAATCTACATGTGGACATGAAGGTCCAGTACGTGACTTTCATATGTTTAAGAATTTTATATTAGATATTTTTAGCAATGGACATTATCACCGACCCGGCTATAATAACAGTTACATGGATCATTCTTCAAATCGTCGTAAGAACTGGACGCCGAAGCACGGCTTTTTTGATGCAAATCACTACTTTGTACCTTCATATCGACGGAATTCACGCAAACATGATGAAGTACTTTGTATTATTAACAACATTTTTGGTAATTTGATGGATTTTTTTAGGAGAAGGTGGACTTTAGAATTAAGGTAGAATAAATAACATGAGAAACAATTAGAAATATCATTTGTTGCTTATTTCTAATAACTTCTAACGCAGCTTCAGTGCCGTCATCGTACCTTAATTCTGCCTTCATCGTAGAATAGATCTAAATATGGCTCATATTGCAGCTATAACATTCATAGTTCGAAAATTGTCTCCAAGTCATGCCATTTTTGGGTAGAATTATCATGAACTACACATTATCCAGACTTATTACTGTAGAACTTTTGTCTTTGAACTTTCTCGCTTCAGGTTTCATTCATAAACCATGACATATTTACTTAAGGTCAGCCAGCGTATAGGAATTACACCGGTAAAATAGTGATGCAAACGGCTATCTGAAAAATTAGGCAACATGAAATAAAAACCTGAACCATTTCTCGCAGTATTTGTTCGCTCTTAAATCATCTTCATGATATTCAATAATTCAGAGTTTCCTTCCTGCTAAAGCAAAATTGTTAAAAATACATTTCCTACCAATTTTCTGAGTTGCGCATGGGTTTTGAATATCTGAAATGCTGTCAAAATTGTTTCAGATTGCGTTACACTTTAATTAGAATTCGCTACTAACCTTTCAGGTTTCCAAATAAACAGAATTTTTTGAATAAAGAGATGAAATTAGGAAGGCAGATAGTATTTTCAGAAAAAGGTGAGTTACATTGGTCGTCCGAATTCGATTTATCGTTTGAATGTTCCATCGCACACCTCGGCTAACAATGATACCAGAAGTGGTGGACCTATCAGTCGACGGAAAACGACAGCAGCAGATAATCGTAATCGTCTTACCAATGTTTTTGGATATAGTAAAGCAAGTTTTGAATTCCAAGATTGTAAACTGCCTTAATCGAATTCGTTTAGAGAGATAATTTACTGATATCCTATCCTCTTCCTTGCGAGTGAGTCAACATCTTTAACTGAAAACTTACTGTGAAGCAAGAAACTACAACATATAGGTTAATATTCATTTCCGAATGAGTGAAGGACTAATGACTTTGCAGGTTAAGCCAATCTTCGATCGAAACCCAAATTTATTTGGAGCAAAGGACGAATTGAATAAACTTGCCCGAATAGTGGAAGAAACTGAACAAGAAGAGGATGAGGACGGTAGTAAGAATGATCTGGATGAGGAACAGGAGCAGGAGGAGGATAAGGAAAAGTATGAGAAGAAAGAAAAAGAGGAGAAAGAGTTACTAGAAAGCAATGCTTCTCCAGAACAGACCAAAGAACACTCAATGAAGGGTAAGGAAGATGCAAGCGCTACCTCTAATGATGCCGAGAGAGATCATCAGTTTATATCGTCCCGAGGAGATAACGATGTTGCATCCTCCGTCGTCAATGCTGAACTGCCGTTGGAAATTGCATTCAAGAATAAACTTATCATTTGTTTTAGTTCCAATGATGCTGAGTCTGTTGCTGTAAGAGTTGCTGGTTGTAATAATGAAAATGATCTAATTCACTTCTCGGACTCTGAACTGGAAAATGATAATCCTCTCCATGAAACCGAAATATTAATGTAAGCTTTGCTCCGCCCAATAATTCCTTTATTTTATTTGCGTAATTTCATTGTCCTTTATATTTAATTAGGAACTGTGTTAAATAAACATTTCATTTTCATTTTTCGCTTTGCGTCGTCAAAATTACCGCTTTTAAAGATTAAAATTGATTTATGGAAGGTGCAGAAAAAATTAGGTGATACGGCCATTTTCATAAAAGTTGAAAATGTCAGTGCTGGTGATGCCATTTAGCAATTACGGGGAGAAACATACTGGCTAAAGAGCAGTGATTTCTGGAAATTGAAGACTATATTTGCAAACATTGTTCATGTTTGATCTTTCATCTTTTAGGATAACAGTGTCGCAAATTACTGGTTTCAGTTAAAGAACAAATAATTTCCACAGGCTGTTTCAAATGCGACGTTTTGAAATGTCGGTTGGGATGGAATAAGTCAGTAATGACTTAAATATGAAAAATAAACCGAGACTAGTTTTCTCGCCAGTATCAAGCGGCGGTGTAAATTCAGGTACGGAAAATGCAGCGCTAAATATTTCGCTCGCTTGCAAAGGAAATACGTAACATACAACGTGATATTTGGATGAAACATAGTAAATAACGTCTTCATCGACAACACAGTTCTAGCCAGTTTAGTAAGTCGAAAAATCTAAAACCCCAGGAAATTTCCCCTTGTCTCGTTGTATAACGTATTTTTTTTTCGTATTTTTGTCACTCATGGCATTCGACATTACTGATGGTCTTTAATAAATGTTCTCTCATTTCAATAATTTTACAAAATGAATCAAGGTATGAACGAAAGTTGATGACTAACAAATTTAGTCCAATTCATATAGACGAAGTTATCACCCTATAGTTTCAGCTATTACCTTCTGCTGCTCTTACCAAATCTGTTAAAACACCGTCCGTTATTCCCTTACTATAGAAATGAGTAAGGCAGTCCAGTTGTTGTTTTTTAATACATTTAATCTGCTTTCATTTCCCTTTTTTTCCCCTCCCAGTCCTAGTCCTATGCCAACTAAAGCTAAAATCCCCCTTGTTAACTGCAATATTTGGATTGATCTGACTGCCTCAATTCTTCCATTTACCAAAATAACTAGAGCTAGGATTCAAACTTACTTTTCCTCCACAAAAATGAAACCTTTTGAATATAACAAAGAAAACCAGAATCGATGCAAAATGTCTAAAGTACGCACAGAAGTCTAACAAATGAACGATACATATTCTACACTTCAATTTTTATCCTTACGACAAAAAGTATCAAAAAATTCAAGATCGCATCTTACTGCACCATGTATTTTGAAATATAAAATTAATTAGACGAAATTCGTATCACTGTGTGATAAAACGAAGATACGAATTCCACGATACGAAGATTACAGTTGATGGACGTTCACCAATAGCTGTTTTGCGGAGTTAGCGACAGCGAATGCAGCGGCGCATGTATCATTCACACTGAACATTGGTGCATTACACTTGGCAGATAAAATAACTGTTGAATCCGACATCTTTTGTAAGCATGCTTCAACTGCAGGAGTACGCCGTTCCTCCGGGACGACTGTTAAAATACGATTTATCAGTATACCAACCTGAAATAGCCTACAAACCAAGGGCAAAAGCTAAAACAGTGAGGTGATTTTGTATATCAACTTTAGAAATTACAACTTCAAACATAACAGTAAACACAACAAAACTTAGAAGTATAGAAACTTTATCCATTTCTCAGTCTCCAATTTCTCATTTCTCATTCAACGTAATTTACTGAAATTATGAAAACAAGAAAACAAACTGAATAAGCGTGATCTGGCGCATGCGTTTGTAACTGTCCATATTGTGCATCTGTTAATAGAAGCTTAATCGCATGTGTTAACTGTTCCGTTTCTGCTATTAAACTGTCGGTGAATGCTAAAAATGCCGAAAATTAGATATCGTTTAATGCTTACAGAGTAGCCTATAAAATTTAGAACTAAATGTTATGTAAAAATAAACATCAAGTGCTTGAAACTCAGCGTTGCACGACTCATCACATAGTTAAAGCAAAACAGCAGCCAACAAAGGAGAGCTAAACATGATGATGAGATGACATATTTTTCAATTTATTTTAAGTAAGTTAATATGAGTTATTGCTCTTAGACTCAATATATCTACCACACTTTAGTATGAGGGAATCATCGTACAGTTCCAACGTCCAATGTTTTCAACACCAAAAGATAGAAATGAGTGGGATATTGCTCCAGTGCATACAATTCAAGACTCGATTAAAACCGATTCATTAAACTCGATTAAAATATTAAAACCGATAACAGCCTAAGATTTAACATTCAAAAATGAGCAATAAAGAAATAATTTACCGCCAGCACTACGATATGAACCACGTATTCTCTCCTCATCAGTTCTTCCATCAACAGAATTTAATAATTCAGTTTTCTCGCGACGAGAAATTTCAACACATGGATCAAGGCCTTCAACTCTATTACTGTAATCTGTCTGCTGCGTCGTACCTTGTCCTAATGGAAATGAATGCTGCTGTGCTATTGTTCTGTCAGTAGTGCTCACTGCAGACGTTAAGCCAGGACCATGTCGACGACTGGTATGACCAAAAATACCATGAATATCAGGATTTTGTGATGCTAAATTTAAACAAGAATATATAGGAAGTAAAATATGACAACAGCTTGAAATTATAAAAAGATGTCTATTTACTAAACAGAGTGAACAATATATAGACAGAATAGTTCATCGGACACATTTACCAGCAGCTATTTTTCCAGAAGATGCATGATAACTTGAACTGATACTCTTACTACCTAGAACAGAAGTTGAAATTGAGGTTCCGGGAGAGAGAGCTGGAGCTGGAGACGAACGCCGTCTAATCAGGGCCTAAAGTAAACTCGGTCTATACAATTTCCAAAATTACGATGAAATAATAAGATGATTCGTTTAGTATTCCAGCTGAAAAACTACACATGAGATGAATTAATGCGAAAAAATCATATTTAAGGATCTCGAACTTAATTCAGAAACATTTTGTTACAATTTAATTTGTAAGTAACCCCACCTGCGAGCAAATGGTTTGCACTTTTTTGAGCTCATCGTGTACATCTGCATTATCAGCATTTAAACGATCAACACTAGACTGTAAATGAGTCAACATCCTGAAATCAAAAACGAACACGAATAAAAACAATAACATAACAGTCTTTTAAATCCTGCAAGTTAACCACTGATCAATATTCTGTTTGTTTTTTACACGAAAATTCGTAATATTTGTACTTAAACTTTCCATTCATTTTTAACTTCTTTAAATATAGAACTCAATTATATTGACCTTAGAATCTGTGTGTTCGCCTGCTGAACAGCAGTGAGCGTGCTTTCAGCGTTAGCTACTTTTTCTTTTAGCTCCAAAAAATCATCAATCATGACAGGACCAGTCTCTTGCAATAAGTCACCACTGTCATCACTTTTTCTTTCCGACGATTTTCTTAAATTCATCATTTTTATTAAAAAGGATTTAAGTTTAAAATAAGGGTTTTTAAAGAGACTAACAGCTGGTAAATAGAAAGATGAATACCTAGTACTTTCTGAAGTACGCCACTTTCTATTCCGCAAACTATCAGCAACCTCGTCATAATCTCTACAACCTTCCTCACTAAATGATGCGACATATCTGTAACATGCAATACACTGAACAACAAAAAGATAAAAAAAATAGCTTGAGACATCACAGCAAACCTAGCAGGGAAAATTGTCTAAATAAAAATAAGTCTAATAAAGGCAAAAATAAATCCCAAGTATAAGAAATGTGAGAACACACTCAAACATTTGGAAAACATACAAAAAAACATACTCGGCAGTACCCATAGAACTGACATTCAAACGATCCACACTATCTGAAGTTTTTTTCAATAGATTGTCAGAAGAATCATCCGTATCACTTCTCGGTAGTAAGCCATAATATCTACAATCACATATTTTAGAAAACTAGTTGCCCTCATTGCTTAATTTAAGATGATAAATACGATGCAGGGAATGGAAAGGGGTGTTACACGTGCATAGACCAAAAATAGAGAAAAAAAAAGACAATACCCATTGGCTTTCCTCACCTTCGTTTGGCTTCATTGAGAACATCTATGATTAAGGTTGCAAATCTTCGCATATCACATTTTGCGAGTTTTTGGCGGAGCTGATTACGTGTAGCTGATAATTCAGGATTGGACTGCAATAAACAGGATAAGATTCACGGCTGAGCGGTTTATTGCTCAAAAGAATAGAATGAATTCAGCTTAACTGGAGTATGAGAAAGACATATGCCTATGACTACAATACCACAATTACTCGACAAATCTTCAGAAAACTGCTGAAAATAATACCGGCAAAAAAACTGCAACACAGTGGTCGTTTCCCAGAGAGAAAGGCTGAATTCCCTGAGTGGTAGCATTCCAAGCCACTACGGTTTCTCGGCGATCTACCTGTTAATTCAGATTTTTTTTGGGACTCATTTCAAAAGTAGAAACAAAAAATGCACAGATGAGAAAATATAACCTCATCGTAAACATCTTGAACAATACGTTCAAAGTAATACGAAGAAAGGGAACGAAGCCGCCGCCTTGCTGATTTCATTTGCATATTTTCGGTGTTCTGTCCTGTAAGCTCGGGAATCAAAAAATACTGTTGTCTCGAGTGATCTGGTCGTCGTCCACATAAAAACATTGTTAAACGGTTTGTAACTTCAAACTGCAGTTCTTCCAATCTTATAGCGAGTTCAGTCTGAAGAAAAAGTTTCACCAAATAAGGAATGCAAAGGTAAATATCGCATCTCTTCTATCTTCATCATAAAGCACTGTGATGGACTAACTGAAACTGATAAATTAACTGAACTCGCAGTTCGAACAAAACTTAGAAAAACAAGAAATCAGTGCATCATCAGCAACAAAAAGATCGCACGTTCGGACAAGAAAACTTGAGACAAACAGCTTCATCTACAAACAAATTCTATGAAATAAAACTTACGTGATTTTCAAGCCTTGCTACTTGAGAAGGAGTTAAGTCTATGGCATTCAGCTGAGCAGGATCAGCCCCATAAATCCAAAGTAATTCAACCTGAATATTACGCTGAAAATTAACTGGAAATATATTGATTGTAAATGAAGCAATAGTCACTTTATCTGGTGCAAAAAAAAAAGACGAACTTGTAAAGCTTGATTTTCTTTGGCCGAGATATGAAGCGGTGCATTATGTTTTTCCGGATCAATGTAATTCGGATCGGCACCCATTGCCAATAATCTGAAACATTTGATGAACCCGTTCGAAGGGCACGAAGAAGTACTTCCTACGAGAAGTACTTCCTTTGGATACAAAAACATAAATGTCATAGGAATTTCAATGTTAAAAAACTTCAGAAAGTATGCATTATTTCGTTCCTTTCCACCAATTCATCCAAAAATATTTTTCTACAAATACCTCATAGTTGTTTCCACATGAGAAGTCCTTACACAAGACCAAAGCTGCCGATTTAAATCATCTTGACTAATACAATTATCATCCTTTGCTGGACGTAGAGCGAAAGCCATTTGCGCATATTTTGCTTTGATAAAGTTTTCTTTAATGGGGAGAACGGGGTCACTAGAAAAACTGTTTTGTTAAGTAAAAAAAAAAAAAACAATGTAGAAAAACATGAATTAAACCAAGGTTGACATGAATTGCTTTTCAGACAATTTCTTAAATAGCAGAAAACATTCCCTTATACTTCAGCAAATTTCATCCTTTGACGACTAATTATTTCCAGCTTTAACCTACCTCATCTCTTTGTTAGATGTTCAAAGTTCTAATTCACTAAGACTTATGGTTTCACAACACTGTTCAGAAAAATAGCAAAATGAAACATTTTCAGGAAACTTGCTGAAAATACATGACATGACTAAGCGATAGCGAGATAAAGAAATTTCTGGATCAGGACTCACTGAGGTGTCGGTTTTCGCCGAATTTTATTGATAGATTGAGGATCGAGAAGCGAATGTTCCCAAATATTATTTGAACCATTGGAATATAAAACATACATCAACTCTAGCTGACTGCTATTCCAAGCTCCTTTTTTGATTGAACGAACATGGCTGATATGACGACCTGTACACTTACATTGAAAACAAGGAAACGTAATTGTATGCACCATTCTTACCCCTCGAAAAAACCTTTATACTCAGTTCATGCAAAATCCCTAAGTTGCTCCATATATTTAACCGATCTCATTTTCACGCAGTAACCACTAAACTGTCCTGCCAGTTTGCAATTCGGTTACTTGGACACAGCTAAACTACTTAAAGTCGATCGAACAACGACTGAGCCAGGTTCTCCATAATGCTATACTAATTGTACAGTTTCGCTCTGACCTACAACTATCAACAAATGCAACTAACAAAGCAACAAAAGATGCATGTCAGCTTACTGGAATGGTGCAGTGACACCTTCATTAATCCGGAATTTTTGTTGTAACTATAGACCGACCTGAAGAATAATCGCCAAAAATAAATTATTCGGAAAAACTACAAAAAAGTAACCAAGATTCCTGTGAACATAGCAACATTCCGAGCAAATAAGAACACCTCTGTTCAGTGAAGCCCACTGAGGATCTTCGGCAGAACAATCCGCACACTGAAATGGGCGTCCAGCTGCTGCAAATATATCATTCATGAGATTTAAACTGAATATATGATAGATGACAAAAGTACAGATCAAACCGGCGATAGGACAATTATATTCAGAATACTGTATCTATTATATAAAAGCCAGCGACAACGGACAAGCTATGTCAACTTGAAAACATCCCTATCTTATCAGCACAACATATGCTTTCAAAGCAGATAATTTTCACGAAGACACACCGCTACTTGTAATAGACTGCGACGATATATCAGCAATCATTTCCTTCCGTTCAAGTGATCCGCTTTCTTGACAGATAACCAGCTTTCATCAACTGATCGCCTTACTTCTGGCACTTCTTGCAATATTTGCTACCATACAGCCCGGACTAAACATACATTCTGACATCAGATAGGAGCTAAATGAAATGCTTATTTATTTAAGTGCTTATTTAATTTTGTACAATTTGTGAAAAATCAGCGTGAAAGACAGCTATCGGATAAGAAACGACAAAAACTTGACATGCCAAGCAAGCTAATTTTCCTATCAGTATGCAATAGTTGTGCCTTTCTGGACACTGACAGCTTTCCATGTCCAAAAGCAAAGGATGACATATGACAAGGATTAAGTGCTCTCCGTCCATAAAGAGAACAAATGAAATCCGAAAGCAAGAATGACCCGAAACTCTGCAAGAATTCTTTCCCCTACCCACAAAGGCGCGAACTTTGACCATCCAGCCAATCTGCTCCTATATGTAAATGACGACAAAACGTAGCAAATGGAGAGACATGAGCGAGAAGATGGGAGACTTGTGAGACAGTGTGGTGAGGTATGCTAGGGTGTGGGTGAGGTGTTCTCCACTCTCTACGAATCCTTTATTAATTGAGTCTGGAGAGTACGTAACATAGAGGGTGAATTCCATGCCCAGAAACATTTATAGTTGTTAATTGCTTTTGTAAACCTTACTGATCGACTGATAAGATTTGAGAGTGCATGAATATCAAACGCTGCGCTTGTAATACCCTAGTACCACAATCGCAGCGTTTGATATTCATGTAATCAGCCATCCGAATAAGAGAACATGTTCTGCTAGTTGAACTTATATATATATATATACGAATTCATTAATTCTTTTAGGTCTCGAGATTTTTCTATGAACGCCAAGCACACTTCACCGATTTCATACATTCTGCACTTTATTCACCAGCAAACAGCCTAAATGAAGTCTGAAATAAGTGATTGGAAATATCTTAATCCTGTCAAAATAAGGTCATTTTTGTTTCATTTATCCTCGGTAATTAAAACTGAGACAAGTGAAAATTCGGCGAAATAAGGTAGAACAAGATAAGGCCATGGCATAACAGTTTCAGATTCTGAATGATTTGTACTACGTAGCTTCAGAAGATGTATCCCGGTTTGTATTAGTCGAGAATATTTCAGGAGCAACACGTTATTCCAGAACACACGTTATGATATCAATGACAAATGTCTTTTTGCGTCATCCCCTTATGGAGGTTCTATAGGTATCGTCTCGACATTCGTTAAATATCTACAGTCATCTTCAAACAGGGGTTATTGAATGATTTAGTAGGCTTATTGTAGACCATTCTATCTTTCATTTAAATTCAAGTCAGGAAAGTTGGAGTAATCATTCCCTTCTAACGGTGTTTCCAAACAATAGGTAACATATTACCTTTTTCCTTCGTGTTACTTTTATTCAACTTCCTAATCTCGGCTTTGCGTTCAGAACTGATTTGTAGAGAAAATATTGATTATTCGACACAGAATTCCTTCCTCGTTTTTATCAGTGGAAGGCATGTTATAGGTGTCAGACACTAAGACCATTATTGCTGAAAAATGCGTTGTGGATGAGTACCTTCCTTTTTGCCCCTTTATGCGTACTGAGGTCGGTTTGCATTATTTTAACAGCGAACCTCATGACATAACTAAAAGCAGCTTTTTCCAGCGATTGCGGTACCAGATACTTCTTTTTGGATTGTTACGATAAAGACAAGCTCAGGAAAAATACTTTCAACCATCAGAGCTCACAATGTGCATTCCCTGTATTGGACTCGTTGTCACAGAGTAAGATGCACCATTCTTGCTTTTTGAAGAGAAGTTTAATTCTCATTGCTAGTTACTTACTTCCAGTTCTTGTCTAACGTTTTATTTATTCCATTTTAAATTTAGCTTGTAATCGTTAACATTCGTGGCCGTGTTCTCGTTTACACTCCTCTTGGCAAGCTCAAATATCAGTTCATAATCGATGAGGTTGTGTTTTGCACTTTTTTGTTTGGACTCGTGTGTTGCATATAGAATATAAAGCCGAATTACTTTTTTTAGTTCAGATATATTTAGGAGATTACCGTTACTGAAACACGTATATATCACGGAGGAATGGGTAACACTGGTTTAGCAGTCATTTCCGACAATAATAGGATCTATGCTGTCAACTCAGTTATGGAAGCAGTCCCATGGCGCATTCCAGATATTGCAAGTAATTTTTTAATAAATTAGTTGTGGTTAACATATATATTAGCAAAATCCAAATTTACAGTAAATTGCATAACTTTTCTGCTCATCGAGATGAAAGACTTCTTACTACTTTAAACATTGTTCGCAAGGATTATCATTTGATAAGGTCAGGAAATGAAATGCTCTAAAAAAGAAAGACTTCATGCATTCATCCAATATGAATGAGGGGAAAATTAATGAACTATTTTAGAAGGAACTCACCCATCTGCCTGGAATGTACTTACTTCTCTACAAGTGACCGTTTTATTTATTATTGGTAATGCGTTCTATGCAGGCGTGCAAGGGATTTCACCACACCTTTTGGTTTGCTTTTTCGTCCACGGTTCTAATAATTTATTTTGCTTGCTTCATTTTCCGAACTATATTTGATGCTCCTCAGGATCTTTCATGGAAGATCGATAATGGCGAATACGTAAATATTGTTCCAAACTGGGATAGTTCTCGAATGGCTCTACTTCATTCGAGCTTTGTTGTTCAAATTATTGATTCAGATTTTTCACTTCTTTGTACTTTATCTATTTGTACCGTGGGTGATTCGATTATAAGATCTAGTCTTACATGGTTAGTTTTAAAGTTTTCCGCATAAGATAAAATCAGGTTTCATCGGTATTGATAGATTCATTGGTAATAATTAAAATCCTTGGTCAAAATCAGTTCAGGTGTGGCAGTGAGGTAGTGGCTTTGAAACGTACTCATCAGTCCTTATATCTAATTTCCCTGTGCTCGGAGACGCATATGTAAGTTTTTTAAAATTTTGAAACTTTGCATTGAGACATTTGATTTAGTTTTCATGTTATTTTGCACATCCTTGCAATATCACTTTTTTTTTGTTTTGCGGTGGTGCCTTTATATGATGCCGGAAATAAGGATAAAAAGGGAAGGAGAATTAAGGCCAAATTATCGTTATGTGTATTCACTTTTCCTTTTACAAATCAAATTAAAAAAACGATTACAATTCATATTCAAACTGCATTAATTGTTCTTATTTAAACTAAAGATATGACTTCGAAAGTTCTGTGCAAATTGATATGGAGCTTGATGGTATTAAAGTTTTCACTACAAATGAATTTACTCTTTTATCGCAAGTACCAGGTTTTTCTTTTTTATTTGTTTGTATCTGAAATATGCCATCCAATTGAACTGCAATTTTTGGTATTTTTTTCGTATTTTTTGCATTATTACAAATTATCAAATTATGAAATCTGATTCCATGTCACATTATGAATAGCAAAGCCAATGCTACAATCTGCAGCGGGGTGTCTATACCTCTAGGATGGGAGTTCTTGAATTTTTGTTGTCGACGTTCATTGTTTGAATTTATTGTACTGTTTTTTGATTTGGTTGCGCAAAACATGGTTGAACGCAACACCTAAATTTATTTTTTGCTTTTGATTACACTATAGTTATCGTTGGTTTGTTGCTATCGTGACATTAAATCCTTACATGTGCACAAACTTTGTTATCTACATGATAATCGATAATCAGAATTATGCATGTTATGAATATCGATTACAATTTTTTTTGCTAATTTCAAGTTCTTACTGTGTATATCTATTACAGATGCAGTTGGTGATGTACTGGGTGTCGCATCACCGGAACCTGGGGCCATTTTATACGAAGCTTCTGAGAAACTCATCGAAGGAACTTACGGTGTTTACGAGTATATAAACATGATTGGTGAATCTTGTCTTATTTTCGGCTGGAACATTCACATCAGATATTTGTTATCATGATCTTATTTTTGTTCACTTACATTTTTATAGAAGATCAAATGGAGAAGGCCATACAGCAATGTCTTTTCGCTGCAGCGCATCAGTTTGATACTATTTTGCAAAAGAAAATGCTGAGGGTTCGTGTTATGCAGAACTCAAGATTATAGTTATGGACTCAAACGTTAAAACATATAGCACTGCAGCAGATAATTTCCTTAAGCTTCATGTTGTTACAAGATATGTATTAAGGCGGCATCACTTGGGAAATCATTGTTGCGGCGGCAGGACGCTTCACAGTTCGTTGACATGTGTCGTGTTATGAGGGTGCTGAACTTTTTGCGAAAGCCGTATATTGGAATGGCATTGTCATTTGCGCAGTAGGTTTTTGATATTAACATGGGGCGTTCGTGGCAGTAATATCAATTGATCTAGGATTAAAATAGTTCAATTTTGCTCATAAATTTAATGCAACATTGTGTTCTCATTAGGGAAGAACAATTGACGAATGTGGTATAGCAAGAATAAAACTGCTTTTTAGGTAGTGAAGGTGAATTTCATCACAACTTAAAAAAAGGTGGAGTTGCAAATCCATTTCTGATAATGCAGTATATTGCACTAATCGATTTAGCCTGTGAAAGTTATGGAGGACAAGCAAAGTATTACCTTCAAATAAACTCATTAATATGAGTTGTTTTTTGGCTGTTAGAACAATAATGTTAATAAAATCTCATTGTGGAATGATAATATATGTAAACAAGTGGAATACCCTATACGAGGTGGTTCAGAAAACCATGCTGACCATCTCACTAGATCGAATCCAACCTTATTGTGATATTCTTCCTTTCCATATCTACCATAGTAGTTTTGTTTCAAGAGATGCATCAGGGCATAAATGTAGTAAAGGCGTTCGTGCACAAAAATCTACATTTATTCTTGTATAGGAATCAAAGGTAAATGTTTGAGAAAATGTACCTATATATATATATATATATATATATATATATATATATAT